TGAATATTTTAATTTTGTTGTAGATACTGATAAAAGTCTTTTTAAATTTTAGTTCAAGTGGACGCCCTATCATCCGCCTGATCTCGATATGCATACTCTTGCACCTATCTGTCGAGATACCGCTGTTATGTGGAGAGCCAGAGTCCCATTGATATGTTGGGAGATTATCGAGATGCATGTCCCAGATCGTGTGTTGTGGCAATTTCTTCTTTCTCAGCATGTGCCGGATCATGTTGAGAAAATCGATCGTAGGCAACGGATGACATCGCATCGTACGAACTGGGTTGTATTCCGTGCACCCTACATAGACATGTGGAATAATAGGTGCAATTTCATACAGAATGAGAGAATTCCAACTGGGGGTTATACCGAGTACATGCGTTGATATTGGATTATCACACGCAGATGGATAGGAGCGATCCATAGCCAACACCTGGATACGTACCACGCCCACCGACGGATAGTTACATCCATAATGCCATGATCGAGAGATATTATGTAAGTTTTTAAACTAAATTAAAATGACAATTCTTTTTTTATTAAGATATTACTTGCTAAGTTTTGTATATATTGATTAACTCGCAGATCAATGCTTTTGATGAGATTGAGGCCGATATAAATGAGCATATTACTGAGATTCGGGTTCCAACGGTCTTAGGGATCTTCAACAGGATCAGACAGAGAATAGCGAGCGTGTTCCAAAAAAATCATGTCCATGAGTTTGAAGGTCGTCAGGACAGGTCACGCCAATTTGGTCAAGTGTACATGCGACAATGTAGGACAGGTCAACCGATGGCGTGTGACGACAGAGCCAACACTTCTCATAGCACGGCGCATGCTGATGGAACTGGCACTTCTCAGCCTCATACACAACTAGATAGATCATTGAGGCTCAGCAGCATGGACAGAGGGGGCGGAGATGGGGGGGAGTGAGGGGAAGGGGTAAGAGAGGGAGAGGAAGGAGATGAGGGCTTTTGGGATGTATGTGAATTTCTTTTGTTCAATTTTGTTGCTTTTGTGAATTTCAAGAACAATATGGTTAGATTGTTTAAATTTGTTATTTTTGTGAATCGATTATTGTTTATATATGTGATTTCATGAATATTGTTTTAATTCAGCATATATGTGATTTTTGCGTGTATTGTTTGATTCATGTATATTGTTGTGAATGAGGCGGAAATTTCATGTATATTGTTGTGAAATTGTTTTCATGTATATTGTTGGGAAATATGTGTATATAAAAAACATGCACATAACCTGTGCATGTTTTTTAAAACCTGCAACTCCACGGGACTTCAAGTCCCATGGAGTTGCAGATTGAATTCCAAAGAGCGATGCTCTCTAGAATTTCCGCCTGAAACTCCACGAGACTTGAAGTCCCGTGGAGTTGCAAGTTGAATTCCAAAGAGCGATACTCTCTGGAATTTCCGCCTGAAACTCCACGGGACTTGAAGTCCCGTAAAGTTTGGCGGAATTGAGAAATTTCACGGGATTTCAAGTCATGTGAACTTATAGCCCCCTTAATTAAGTTTGTTAGCGGGAGCTTAAACTTCACGGGACTTTAACTCTTGTGAAGTTTTGTATTTTTTTTTTCTCAAAATCGACCTAAGTTTAGCCAGTTGGCTGAAACTGGGTCAATTTTGACAAATAATTTGGAAATAGGTCGATTTTTGCAATTAAATTTTTAAATGGGTTGGTTTTGAAAATTTATCCTCATTTTAATAATATGATAGTTATGTTCCTAGGATTGTGGGCCCTAGCCCAAATATATTGAGGCCCTTGGTTTAGGCCCTCGTGGGCTTTTTGACTAGCTTTAGTGGCGTGTGATAATATCAAATGAGGATGAATGTAAGGCCTTGGTTTGATTTTCAAAATATTCGGTGCATCAACTCGAAGCATATTATTTCTGAATACTAATTATTGTATAACATCTTCCTCATAAAATAGAATAAAAGACGATAAAGTAAAAAATCTAGTTGGTCATCGGGTTGTTATACCCTACTCCCTTGAAAATAGTGTTAAGAGCATGTTTAGCAACTTTGGATTATAATCTATTTGGTTTATAATCCACAAAGGACTTTATAACTCAAGTGGATTGCAAACTAAATTGTTTGGGAAATTTAATGGAATATAATCCATTTTAAATGGTAAAGGGTTTGGCAAACGAGTGACTTATAATTCATAGTTGTTGTCAAAATGACTAAAAAGTAGGGGTGCTAAACCGTATCCGTATCCGAGAAAATATCCGTAACCTTATCCGTTAGGATACAAATATGGTTACTCAAATCTATAACCAATAGGATATGGTTACGGATATGATTTTGTAGTGAAATATCCGTATCCGTATCCGAAATATCCGAATACATATTAGTCATACTCTTACGATAGTTTTGATTCTTAGATTATGGATTTGTGGTCAATTTTGATGATCAAGATGTCTAATCTTAACTTTTTAATTATAATGGACATATTAACAAACTCTTTTGTATCACATGAACTATGTTTTTCTCAATACTATCTAGTTTTCTCATATCTGTTTTGTATCTGCATGCATATCCGCTTATATATCCGCATGTATATCCGTAACCGTATCCGATTTTAGCGGATATGGTTATAAATTTTTCTTTCCGAGGTATATCCGTATCCGTATCCGAGATGGGTAATCGGATATGGATATGATAAGCATCATTTCCGAGCCGTATCCGGACCGAATGCACCCCTACTAAAAAGTGATTGCAGATGGAGAAATAGGGCTTTGAAATTTTCTTAAATGCTAAGGGGTAGAGTGGTATTTTGTTCGGAGACCTATTAGCCACCAAAAAATAAGCTAGATTACCCTTTTTTTGGCTTATAAGCCAAAACAAGTTGTTTGTCAAACATGATTACAAGCCACTTTAGCCAGTTGCCAAACATGGTCCAAGACCAAAATAGATGTATTTGCAAATTTTAATGGAAATTTTTAACTGCGTTTCTTTTCCTTTTTCGGTATTTTCTATTCAATCTTAAAAAACAGGATTCACAAAACAATATCATTTCTCTCCTTGATGTACAAGTGAACTGAGGTTGACTTCTCTGGGCCTTGGAAAAAGTTATTTATAGGGGCTGTTGGTTTGGCAAAGATAAATCCGACATGGCACCCTGAAATGCTGATGTGGTCTTTTTCGACAATTTCTCTCAAATTTTAGCTCAAATGGGAAGAAAGTTATTGTGTCTGCAGTCCTAATAAGACGTATCATGTCCATACCACAATAACTTTCCTCTCCTTTTGCCAAAAACAACTATACCAATTGATCTTTCAAAGCACATTCATTGTTAACATTGACATGCCTCAAGCAAGACTTGCATGATCGACGAAAAGTCCTCTTCAAGTTACAAAAGACATATTTGCGCATTTTTCAATTCCTACAAAGTCAATTGAAAAATCGATATCATAGAATATGGCAAATTTATACATTCTCATATAAACATATGATGGAAAGTTACTATGTCAACAGAAAACACCTAACCGCTGCTACAGTAATCACCAATACAGATACAGTAAACGTCACTGTAGCAATACTGTAGCAACAGTGCGCACCTATCGCACACTCACCTATATATAGCTCTCCCTAGCATTAAGTTCAGATCATCCCGGTGTCTCCAATTAAAAGTGAAAAAAAGGAGAGAGAAAGAGAGAAAAATAGAGAGAATTTCTCATTATAAAGAGAGATTGTAACTCCTAAATTTTCCTCATAGTGGATTCTTCTATTTTTGCTCGTGGTTTTTACCCCAAATTCATTTAGGGGGTTCTTCACGTAAATCTGTGTGCTCATTTTATTATTTTTCGCTAGGACCCTGCTCTACCGGGCCCCGGGTTTGTCCCAACAACATATACGTCATGGCTAATTGGCTCTTGAAACTGTTATGGGGTGTTCCCTGTTCCCCACAAATATGCTATCCCGAGAGCAGGTTCGGTCGAGTCGACTTCATTCCAAGACGACTCGAAGGGCGGACTCAGTCGGGCAAAAGATGATTACCCAATCGATCAACCGACACTTTTCCCAAGGACGACTCGGAATATTATATCTCAGCATTATTTTAACAGTTTATGATCATCATTATAACTCCACGTCACCCGCCGACAAGTCTCAACGACTGCTGATTCCCCATACCACAGAAGTGACCCCACGTCACTTGTCGACAAGCCTCGACGGCTGCTGATTCCCCATACCACATAAGTGACTCTACGTCACTCACCAATCGACACGTATCGAGCAGAGGGTGACTCAGCCTCCAGCTCATCCCTCGCCATCATCATAAACCGCATTCTCACTAGATGTCGATTTGGCCCTTGGCATCCTATATAAATACATATGCTATTTCGTCATGAAAAGAGGTTGGATTCTCCTTACTACTTAAAAACTACACCTTTTATTTTGGGAAGAATACACTGTTCTTCTATTACCCCACTCAAGTTCATCAACTGACTTGACCGTCGGAGGTACCACGGGGGAAACGAGCCCCGTACTCCCACGATTCTTGCATGTGCAGGTCGCTCGCCCGTTCCGAGCTCTGAGAACCAGGCATAAAGTCGAAGAAGGAAAGCGGCCCCCTCTCGACGATTCAACATCTTGACGATTCTACAACTCTGCAACCTCCATCGACTGTTTGTTCACGAGCATCAACAGAAACTTAAGGAGTACGTGCTTAGATATTGAGTTGAGGAGTTAAAAGTGTCACTGAACTTATGAAGATCTTACATAAACTGCATGGTGTTCATTTGCTGATTTTTATAAAAGGGGAAGAGAAGTAAAACAAAAAGGAATTAAAAGTCTAAGGAGTGAGAGAAAATTGTGGAGCTAAACTTGAGGAGGAGCCAATCATATATTCACAGTAGCAACATCTCCCTTAGTTACTAGGAGTAGGAGTATTACCCGGTCCAATTCCATAACAGCCAACCATGTGTTGATCCTCTACATGAAATTTGCTCCCATATTAATCTCACCCATTTGCTCCCAAAAAAAAAAAGGTGAGAAAACAAGCAACGAGGGGGGAAAAAGAAAAAGAAACCTCAATCCTCTTCCAATAATTTTTCCAAAAACAAAATGTCGAACACTCGGCAAATGTTCAGCGCTGGAAAGTCCCGCGGTGAGGGCCAGGTAAGTGATTTTGCTTCTATTGTTATTATTAGCGATTTTTTTTTTCTTTTTGGGGTACATGTTGGATTTAATCTAATAAATCTATTTGTGGGCACATATGATTAATCAATGTGTATTGCTATCTTTCAGGATAACCCACTAAAGTGATCAATTAAGTTGGGTTAATTTGGTATTTAAATAAGTCATGGGGTTATATGTGCAGATACCAGGTTGTAATTGTAATTTATTGAGGGGCTAAATTACAAAAGTACAACATCTATAAATAAGGGGTTATGGTCCCTAATCTAGGGTTACATTCTCTAATTCTCTACACCCCCATCTAGCTAGAGAAATTCGGCTAAGAGAGAACCCTAAGGTTAGAAGATCAAAACTCATCTAAAGATCAAGCAATGGATTCAGGTATAAGCTTCCGCTCTTTTAGATCCTTGTTAATCTCTTTGAATTAATCATGACTATATGGTTTTAGATCTCAAGTTTATGATGTAGATCTAACAAGTGGTATCAGAGCCACCTTGATTAATTCTTAGGGATTTAAGTTTTATTGGGTTTTTGATCTTAAATCTCTAGTTAAAGATTCAATTTTTTGGGTTCGGATGAACAGTAATGTTCGGTGAACAGTAACGAAATTTTTTTGTTCGGATGAATAGTAAAATATTTTTTCGGATGAACAGTAACTGAAAAATCGCCGGTGAACAGTAACTTTTTGGAATTTTTTGGCTTTTTCTTTGATTTTTCCTTCAAATTTTTCCGATTCTGGATCTGTTTTGAAAATAAAAATCAAAGTTTTTTGGGTTTGACGGCGGCGGTTTCAGTTTGAAACCCTAAGGGTTCATGGCGAAAATTAAGGAGGTGGTTACCTCAAACGAACTTCGCGTTCGTTCAATTTTAACTGAACTTCGCGTTCAAACGAACTTCGCGTTCGTTATCAAGTGAGCCTCGCGCTCAACGAACTTCGCGTTCGTTCTAAGGTGAACCTCGCGTTCAACTCAGGTGAGCGTCAAGCTCAATTTTAACGAACCTCGCGTTCGTTCTAAGGTGAACCTCGCGAACGACCCTCGCGTTCGTTCTAAGGGGAACCTCGCGTTCAACTCAGGTGAGCGTCAAGCTCAATTTCAACGAACCTCGCGTTCGTTCTAAGGTGAACCTCGCGTTCAACTCAGGTGAGCGTCAAGCTCAATTTTTAACGAACCTCGCGTTCGTTCATTTTCAGACGAACCTCGCGTTCGTACTTCAGACGAACCTCGCGTTCGGACTTCAGATGAACCTCGCGTTCATACTTCAGACGAACCTCGCGTTCGTACTTTAAACGAACCTCGCGTTCGTTCCCAAGATTGAACCTCGCGTTCTTTTATCAAACGAACCTCGCGTTCGTTCACTTTCAGACGAACCTCGCGTTCGTGCTTAAGTGAGTCTCGTACTCAATACAGTTGAACCTCGCGTTCAAAGTTAAGGGAACCTCGTGTTCTTTATGGTTAAGCATCGGCTTTTCATGGGTCCACTTTGGTATACTTAATTTATTCAATTAAGTTATGGGCCCTAATTAAGCTGTGAGACCCCAATTAAGTTTTTGGAAATTCAGTTGATTTAAATTTTTTAATTTAAATCTAATTCGGTTTTTAATCAATTATTTAATTCAAATATTATGACACTAAGGTATTAAGGTTGTCTCTCACTCCAATTGATTAATTGAAGCAAGAAGTTGCCAAAGTAACCTCTCTTATGTAGATTGTTCATGAGGAATGTGAGATGTTTGTGTGTATGCTTTCGTGTAAATATTTAATCGGCCCAAAGGAAGGTTAATATTTATTTAGACTGTATACACATCTGCGATGATAAGCGTGTGACAATTATAAGGTTTACATGTGAATAATGAATCGATCCAAAGATAGTTTCATTATTTGACATGAGTTATTGTCAATGTTTGATCATTGCAACAAGGTATCACTTACAAGTTAATATTACTGTCCAAAGACTTGATATTAATGTTGTGCCGGTATCTTGGATGGGGATTGTCATTATTTGAATTTTATTGATTATGGTTATTGATGTGAGCATTCTTTTGTTTTATTTCAGCTAATGCATCTGCTGCAACAATTTCTGCTAACATCAACTCAATTCCCATGCTAAATGGGACAAACTTCAAGGTTTGGAAAGAGAACATATTAATTGTTCTTGGCTGCATGGATCTTGACTATGCATTAAGAACTGAACAACCCCAACCTCTCAATGCGGATAGCACTCCTGATGCAAAGAAGGAGCATGAGAAGTGGGAGCGTTCAAATCGCATGAGTCTTATGATCATTAAGCGCGGCGTTCCGGAAGCCTTCAGGGGCATAGAATCCGAAGGGATTACTAAGGCTAAAGATTTCCTTGCCGAAATTGAGAAGCGTTTTGCGAAAAACGATAAGGTAGAAACAAGCACGCTTTTAGCTCGCTTGATTTCAATGAAGTATAAGGGCAAAGGAAATATCAGGGAGTACATTATGGAAATGTCTCATATTGCTTCAAAGCTTAAGGCACTTAAACTCGATCTTTGTGACGAGTTATTAGTGCATCTGGTTTTGTTGTCTCTTCCTGCACAGTTTAACCAATTTAAGGTCAGTTATAACTGTCAAAAGGAGAAATGGACTCTAAATGAGCTCATTTCATACTGTGTGCAAGAAGAAGACAGGTTGAAGCAAGATAAGACAGAAAGTGCTCATTTGGCCTATGCCTCTAAGGATAAGGGCAAGAAAAGGAAGAATGATAAGGAAGCTGCTAAGGGTCCAGTTGAGAAGAAACAACATAAGGATAATCAGGGTTGTTTCTTCTGTAAGAAGCCTGGACATGTAAAGAAGGACTGTACAAAATATCACGCCTGGCGTGATAATAAGGGTACGTTCCTTGCTTTGGTCTGTTCTGAGGTTAATTTAGCTTCAGTACCTAGAAACACTTGGTGGTTAGACTCTGGTGCTACTACTCACATAAGTGTTTCTATGCAGGGTTGCCTGAGCTACCGAAAGCCAAGTGATGTTGAAAGACACATCTTTGTGGGCGACGGACAATCGGTAGATGTGGAAGCAATTGGGCACTTTAGGTTGTTGTTAGGAACTGGTTATTATTTGGATTTAAAAGATACTTTTGTAGTACCGTCTTTTAGACGGAATTTGGTTTCTGTTTCTGTATTGGACAAATCAGGTTATTCTTGTTCATTTGGAAACAGTCAATTCAGTTTATCTTTTAATTCAAATGTTGTGGGAACCGGTTACTTGAGTATTTATGACAACCTATATTTGCTTGATACAATTGCTTCTTACAATGAATCCTTGCATGTGGAATCACGTGGTACTAAGCGTAAATTAAATAAGGAAAATTCGGCGACATTATGGCATAAGCGCTTAGGTCATATCTCAAAAGGTAGAATTGAGCGTCTTGTGTCTGATGGCATTTTGGATTCCCTTGATTTTTCGGACTTCGACGTATGTGTTGAATGTATCAAGGGAAAACAGACCAAAGTGAAAAGATTAGGTGCCAACAGATCTTCGGATGTCTTAGAATTGATACATACGGATATTTGTGGGCCATTCCCTACGGAATCCTGGAATGGTCAACAATATTTTATATCATTCATAGACGATTACTCACGTTATGGGCACCTATATCTTATTCATGAAAAATCTGAGTCTCTGGACATGTTCAAAGCCTATAAAGCTGAAGTTGAGAATCAACTCAACAGAAGAATTAAAACCGTCAGATCTGATCGTGGTGGTGAGTACTACGGTAGATATGATGGTTCAGGTGAACAACGTCCAGGACCATTTGCTAGATACCTAGAGGAATACGGTATCGTCCCACAGTACACCATGCCGGGTTCACCTAGCATGAATGGTGTAGCTGAAAGACGAAACAGGACTCTTAAGGATATGGTAAGAAGTATGATTGCTCATTCTTCTTTACCAGAGTCACTCTGGGGAGAAGCACTTAAGACAGCAGCTTACATTCTGAATAGAGTACCAAGTAAAGCAGTTGCTAAAACACCTTATGAGCTTTGGACTGGTCGAAAGCCCAGTTTAAAGCATTTACATATTTGGGGATGTCCAGCTGAGGCAAGGCCTTATAGGCCAAATGAAAAGAAATTGGACTCCAAAACAGTTAGCAGCTACTTTATTGGATACTCTGAACGCTCTAGGGGCTTTAAGTTTTATGATCCCACTATAAGGAACATTTTTGAGACGGGAACAGCAACATTCTTTGAGGATGTTGAGTTTGGGGGGAGAAATAAGGTTAGAGACATTAGTTTTGAGGAGGAATTGGCTTCAGATCCAATCCATACAGTTACTTTTGACAATATTCAGGTTCCTATACCTGTTGTTGCTCAAGAAGTAAATCCGGAACCTCAAGATGATAATGTTGAACAACTCCCTGTTCCAGAAGAACAAACTCAACAACCTCAAGAACCAGTGCCATTAAGGAGATCCACGAGAGAAAGGAGAAATGCTATTCCGGATGATTATATTGTATTTCTCCAAGAACATGAGGAAAGTAGTGGAATGTTAGAAGATGATCCAATCAACTTCTCTCAGGCCATGAAAAGTTCTAACTCTCAACAGTGGATTGATGCCATGAATGAAGAGTACAAGTCTATGCAAGACAATAAGGTTTGGGAACTTGTCCCATTACCAGAAGGTGCAAAACCAATTGGTTGTAAATGGATTTTTAAAACCAAGCGGGATGCAAACGGTAATGTGGAGAGGTATAAGGCACGTCTTGTGGCTAAAGGCTATACTCAAAAGGAAGGCATTGATTATACAGAGACTTTCTCTCCGGTTTCATCGAAAGACTCTTTCAGAATAATCATGGCACTTGTTGCTCATTATGATCTTGAGTTACATCAGATGGATGTTAAGACTGCATTTCTCAATGGAGACATTGATGAGATGATCTATATGGTGCAACCAGAAAACTTTGTGTCGGGAGACCCAAAGAATATGGTCTGCAAATTAAGGAAATCCATCTATGGACTCAAGCAAGCTCCTCGTCAATGGTATCATAAGTTTCAACAAATAGTTATCTCGTTCGGTTTTGAGATGAACATTGTTGATGACTGTGTATATCACAAGTTCAGTGGGAGTAAGTATATTTTTCTGGTTCTGTATGTGGATGACATCTTGCTTGCCACTAATGATATAGGCATGTTGCACGAAACCAAGAGATTTCTATCAAAGAATTTTGAGATGAAAGATCTTGGGGACGCCTCTTTTATATTAGGGATCCAGATACATCGAGATCGCTCTCGGGGTATTCTTGGATTATCACAAAAGAGCTATATCGATAAGGTACTTAAAAGGTTTGGCATGCAAGATTGCAGACCAGGTGACACCCCTGTTGCTAAAGGAGACAAGTTTAGTCTCAATCAGTGCCCTAAAGGTAACCTTGAAATTCAGGAAATGCAGAAGATTCCTTATGCTTCGGCTGTAGGAAGTCTAATGTATGCTCAGGTATGTACGCGTCCGGATATTGCGTACATTGTTGGGATGTTAGGCAGATACTTAAGCAACCCTGGTATGGATCATTGGATAGCAGTCAAAAGGGTTATGAGGTATCTTCAGAAAACAAAAGATTACATGCTCACATACAGAAAATCAGAGAAATTAGAGGTCATTGGGTATTCGGACTCTGATTTTGCTGGATGCCAAGATAGCAGGAAGTCTACATCAGGCTACATTTATATGTTAGCAGGAGGAGCTATATCATGGAAAAGTGTCAAACAAACACTAGTAGCTTCCTCCACTATGGCAGCAGAATTTGTAGCTTGCTATGAGGCATCCAATCAGGGAATATGGCTGCGAAATTTTGTCACGGGACTGCGCATTTTGGAAAATGTTGAAAGACCACTAAGGCTATATTGTGACAATAAATCTGCAGTAATGTATTCCAATAACAACAGGAGCTCAACTAAGTCAAAACATATTGACATTAAGTTCCTGGTTGTGAAAGAAAGGGTACAGAGTGGACAGATATCCATAGAGCACATTGGGACAAACTCCATGATAGCTGATCCTCTTACTAAGGGATTGCCACCTAAGGTCTTTCATGAGCATACTGCTCATATGGGTGTGGTATTATTTGAGGATATTATGTTTTAGTGGGAGTTTGTATTTGTGGTGCTTTATGTTTGGTTGTATTGTCTGATCAGAATAAAGTATTCAGTTAAGACACTCTGTTACATTATGTTTGGTTTTGACCTCACTAAGGAGGACCAGTTGAAAATAGACATGTACTGATCACATTGCATGTAATTTTCATGCTGCACATCCATGATTGATCTATGTCATTTGATTGTATTGGTATATGTGACCATTGATGGGTCGAGTCACGATAAATGTGACGAAGGCCGCTTTGATCCTATATTGATATAGTCAATGGACGAGATTGTTCGGAAATACCATTTCAGTGATAGCAATTTTTGAGCTCATAAGGTTATACACAATTTAAGGAATCATATGGTGCCCAAGTGGGAGATTGTTGGATTTAATCTAATAAATCTATTTGTGGGCACATATGATTAATCAATGTGTATTGCTATCTTTCAGGATAACCCACTAAAGTGATCAATTAAGTTGGGTTAATTTGGTATTTAAATAAGTCATGGGGTTATATGTGCAGATACCAGGTTGTAATTGTAATTTATTGAGGGGCTAAATTACAAAAGTACAACATCTATAAATAAGGGGTTATGGTCCCTAATCTAGGGTTACATTCTCTAATTCTCTACACCCCCATCTAGCTAGAGAAATTCGGCTAAGAGAGAACCCTAAGGTTAGAAGATCAAAACCCATCTAAAGATCAAGCAATGGATTCAGGTATAAGCTTCCGCTCTTTTAGATCCTTGTTAATCTCTTTGAATTAATCATGACTATATGGTTTTAGATCTCAAGTTTATGATGTAGATCTAACAGTACAATGCGAAGTATTTTTATCTGACCGTTTATTCTGCTTTGCGATTCGTGCAGGCCAAAGCTGATCAACTGTTGCAGCCAGCCAGCGACAGAGCATCTCAGGCTGCACAAAGTGCTCAGGAGACCAAGGAGCAGGCTGCAGGTTTTCTTCAGCAGGTAATCTCAGTGAAATGCAATACCTATTTCCCTAGCAACTACAAAGTTCCATTTATATAAAGTACTAGCTTGAACACAGACACATTTTCCCCCGCTACAGTAATCCGGTTTTAACTGCCACGGTCATTTTTTGAATGGCTACAGTATCCCGTGTGCTACAGTAATAGTTTTCAAAAAAAATACAGTGTCCAGTTTCGTGCTTGCTGCAGTAATAATGCTACGGCAAATGCTATTGTAGCATTAACTGTAGCATAAATAGTGAATCTTGGATTCTCCCATTTGTATAGTAGAGTAGATGTGGAGTCGAACATCCATAAAGTTTTTCTTTTAAATGAATGGTATCCCAATATTTAATCTCAAACGGATAGGTTTCAATATTAAAGTCTCCATTGATAGCCTGATATTCTATGAAATCATATTTTCACTGTGTATATCTGGAAGCGTGAGACATTTTCCCGAGAGTCTTAACAAAACAATCATGAATTATTAGGTTTTTTGCTGAAATCACTATAAACTGTTTTTTATAGAGAAAAGGTCATAGACTTTGGATTAACAAAATAACGATATATGCTACCATAAAATCACCCAACAAGACGTTAATCGTATTGCCAAAAGTTTAACATGACAGAGTATTAAACAGAATAAGGATAAAATTGTCCGGAATATGTCATCATTTTTATCACACACCAATCGTTTGCGGTAGTTCAGTGAAAATAATTCGCGATAACAGTCATGATTTCTAATAATAATCGTAAAATTAACATCTTATTTACCTATTTTTCTCCATGGAAATAAAGACCGGAGAGCAAGTGATGAACATGGCCCATGAAGCTGCGGATGCAGTAAAGGATGCACTCGGCGTGAGCAATGCCGATGCCTCCAGCAACGGTAGCACCACAACAACCCGTACCACCACCACCACCACCAAGCAGCATTGAAAACTATTTTTTTTCATAATTACCTACCGATGGGTAATTTTTTTTTTCGTGGATTTTTTTTCTTCAAATAATCTGAAAAGAAAATCGATGGTTATGTGATAAATACAAGAATTATCTACTCTTTGGATTCAATGGCATGGAATGTTGTTCGTTTGGCATGACTAAGTTTTAAATGTTGATTTAAACCATTCAAATTTCAAACAGAGAGCCTTGTCAGGACCCGGGATTGTGCAAATTGGTAGTTTGACGAACCAATCAAATAATCATGTAAAAACAAAACAGAAAGATAAGCTTTTGTAAGTAATAGTTGCATGCATCAAAAATCAAGGTGAGGTCATCTAATCACCATATATGGAAGTCGATTCTCAACAATAATAAAGAATAATCCAAGTTTTTTTTTTGTAATACTCATTATAACAATTTGATCAGGAGTTGAGAGGCGCCAATTTACTGCGGTAAACGGTTCAGCGAGAATTTCTAAACAAAAATAGAGACCAGAACAATTTACAAAATCCATACTGAAAGCTCAGGAAGATTTCACTCAATATCTGCTCAAATCATCCTATACAACATGTAAACCAGAAGCTCTTAGGCCTAGCAGATTTGCACAATAAATCATCACAATTCTTATCAATTTCTTCAATCCGTTTTTTGAACGTCCGACACCAAATCGAAATGGGCGTCGAGCAGTGAAATTACTTCAGAGAGAGAACAGACCTTAAAATTTGGTCTCGTATCATCTGTCAATGAATCAATAGGGCCATACCTCCCGCTTTCATCAAGCAAGCATGTAAAAGCTCCTGCTCGCTTTCCACAAACCACCTGTTAGAGGGAAGTAAAAGTGTGTGCATTAGTTGAGTTGAGTGCAAGGTACCACAAGGGATTCAATGATTCTACCTACCAAACATTTGGAAAGATGCAACTGTAGGCATTCCATCAATGACTGATTAATATATCCTAGTTCAGTTGGGTAGAATGTTGGTCTCCAAAACCCGATGTCGTAGGTTCAAATCCTACAGAGCGTGATTCTGTTCCTGCTACGTTAAGTCGAATCACAATAAAATAACTTAACAAAGCGGAATTGCAACTCGAATTTGACCTCCTGCAGATCAACGAGGAGGTAATGTGTAAGTGTCCTTCGAGTCACATAAAACAGCCTTAGATCACAAGTACAAGTGAATGTTAGCCTTGTGCGGCTCCATCATTGTATGACTGCACTTTCACATGAGCAGTAGTCCAAGCAAAGCATGCAAGCATCATGCACTTTAGTGCTGAATGCAGTGTAAACATGCACTATTCCCATGACAACCATACACATTTCAAATTTTAGTATGAACCCTCTATACACTCTGAAAAAAATCCACAGTAGTAGAGAAAAAAATTATCAGTTATGTAGTAGACATGCTATATAAAAAACATAAGATTTAGGATGGTAAAAATTATCACTGTTGATTGCCATAACAGTGACATCCTCTCCAGAAAACGCCTTAATACAATGAGAAAGGGATATTAATATCAGATCCAAGATGAATAAATAACTTGACAATGAAATTGAGAAATGCACATTTCTTGTGCAGGCGTAACAAACCAAGCAATGCATCCAGATCAAGATTGAGATCGTGTATTTCAGCATGCAGGCATAACAAATTAATCAATGCATTGAAATCGAGATTGAGGGAGGGCGGGCTAGGAGAGGAGAGGGAGGGTAGGAGGGAGAAGCATATTTCATTGTGCAGGTAAAAAAAATTACACAATACATTGGAAGAGAGATGCATATTTCAGTGTGCAAACGGAAAAAACTAAGCAATACACCCAAAGAGAGAGGAAGGGATGTGATAATAAGTTGAAGAGGGGCAATCACACTGCACTATAAATTGATTCCTTAGGCGACAATTGGAATCGCTGCAGGCCTCCTTTGTAGTAGCACTTGATAACTATGCAGCACCTGGTTCAATCACCAACAACAGCCAATTTCTACCACCATCTATCTAAAAATTCCAAATAAATGAAGAAATAACAATCATTTGCTACATCTCTCATTGATTTTTGAATAAGGCTCCTCGCCCTATTTTATCTTCCAAAAAAACATCTATTATCGATTTAACTGGGGTAAGAAGTGCTGTTTTCTTCAAGTGACAAGTCCTTTTGACATTCAGCCAGAGGAGATACACAAGATGCCATTTTAAAACTACTACTCATGCATACTATCAAGAAATAGTTGACTGTAAACTATTATCATAGTATTGTTCATTTGGTTTACTCGCTATAATCTTTTTGGATGGACTTCTAAACTGAAAAATCTATCAAAAAGGAAACAATTACGCTTGTGAACAATTGGGTTACTGTAGGTTATAATAAAGTTTCAAAATCTATGACGACCAATGAGTGCCAACTAAAGCTAAACTGAAGACATAACCATATGATTAACCCACTTGGAGAAAGAGGATGAAATTCATGCATGTGTCTGTCATGCAATTTGTTTTATTCATCTACTAAATTTAATCCAATTACAAGAAGATTCAAAGTAATTGCGATGAGATTTATTCATCTGCTAAATATAGTCCAATTACAAGAAGATTCAAAGTAATACAAACTAGCCAATAACTATCTTCCATTACTTTGTATGCATTAGCATGACGTGAAAAGCTAAAAGGACAAGTGAATAGTAAGGTGTAATCCTGCAAACACGTTTTCAGAAGGCGATATTACATTGACATTGTGGTAGATCTGCATGGTTCTCTTTCTGAGATGCTTACTATTGAAGCCATTTACAGTCAAAGGCTGAAAATGCTACAAAAATGCTACTTGCATTCATTTTGGAAATCACAATGCTAACTAGGACCTATAGGACATGTTCACAAAATATGCACACTTGCTAGGTAAAGGCATCTTGAACCAAGTAAACAGTATGCCTCAGTTATAACAGACAATCAACTTACATCATCTTTAAGGCTGTCACCAATCATTAGAACTTCGTGCGAGGGGACATCCCAAGCTTCACAAATATGCAACAACGGAGCAGGATCTGGCTTATAAGGACGAAATTCCCTACTCAATGCTGGGTGGAACTCCATCTACAGTAACAGTATGGAAATCATTGGTCAGAAAATTTCCATACAATTTGAGTAAAGGATAACCAAAAAATATAAGACATGTTAATGCAATAAAAGAAACATTTCACAATCTGCGTAACAATATTAGGATTCCAAAATGGTTAATTTTCCTCGTTCTAGGGAGAAGCATTCTATTACTGTATCCGAGGCATAAAACATAGCTGTGCTCCAGCGTTGGTGACTTTTTATCTAGAGAAGAACAATTGGCACCCATGTAGCACGACTATGTAAACCTCATCACAAGGGCAGCATTGTTTAGCTAGTTGCCAGAGGTTTGATTCTTCATTTAAAAGTTGTCCCTCTAATTTTTGTTCACTGGAACATGCAAGGTCCTTGTAAGGCCATCACGGTCTTTCTTCCTGTACATGTATGTACCATCTCGAAATTAATTGCTTCACACTCAATCAATGCAATAGAGAATTAGAAACAGTTGTCTTTATTTGTTTACGTTGTTGGGGGGAAATCGGGCCTCTATAGAGCTAATGGGCTTTAGACAAGAGGACAGAAATCAAACTAACCCAGAAAATTAAGTTGTTATGAAACTCCATAACTCTTTCCTCAATTTTGCAATGTGGAACCTGGGAGGTAAACAAGCCTCAAAGAGATGTTGAGAACTAAATTAGTCCAAAAATTGCACTGACTTTTTATTAAGTCTATTACTATTTCGTAACTTTTCTAAGGACGACCTTTACTTGTACATGAATGCCAAGACATCTTATGCACCAAATTGCATGACATGCCACGGAACCGAGTCATAGAACTACTTACCCCAAACCGTTGATGAAAAAAATCAACCGCAACCTTGACGTTTCGCGTTATCAATCCCCTTCTGCAAAAAGCCAAATTCTCGAGTTATAAATAATAAAACTGTCCACATACGAATAAGGTTTTCGGATTTCAAAATATTGCTTTACCGGGTCTATTTTATACTTACAATTCCGAAATCGTGCACACTCGAAAATCGAAACATCCAATCTGATTTATTTTTAAACCCAGAATCTATGTTCATCTGCTATAAAGTATTGTAAAGAGCTAAAATTCGATCTAAACTGCTACAGCGAAGGAGTCAAACTACCGAATCTCGGTTAGGTAACAAATCAGGTTTTTGGTTTATGAATGATTTTGAAAATTGGTGGGTTTAGAAATTATTGAGAATATAAGAGAATGCGTTTAAAAGGGCGGAAAAAAAAAATAAAAAATTAAGAAGATAACTTTCATCTCCAATCAGAATAACAATAGTACTCTCCTGCTACAATCAAAACAGCTTTCTTCCATATAGGGTCCGTTTGTTTCGCAAAAAAAACTTGGAAATTAAAGAATAGGAAACCTATTTCCTCTAATAATTGTTTTGAGGTTGTTTGGTTGGGTTAAAAAAGAAGGAAATTATAGAATAGGAGATGAGATGAGTTGTCACCTTATTATTGGATGATGTGAGTGAGTTTTTAAAAAAACTTGTTTTGAGGTTGTTTGGTTGGTTAAAAAGAACAGGAAATGAATTGGAGGTATATTATTGGATGATGTTTTGAGGTTGTTTGTGTTTGGTTCATTTTTAAAAATAAGAAAATAGATGAGACGAGATGAGTTGGAGGTATATTATTGGATGATGTGACACATACTTAAAGAAATCAATTTCTTGTTTTTTTTTGAGGAAATGGATGGAAAGAAATGTTTAATGAGATGAGATGAGTTGTCACAATATTATTGGATGATGTGTGTGATTTTTAAAAATGGGATAAGATGAGATGTGATGAGTTGTGTTAGGGAAATTACCCACTAAACCAAAGAATAGAACAATCACAAACACAATATTTACGTGGTTCGATCAAATTGATCTACGTCCACGGCAAGAGGGTGTATCACTATATTTCTTTCTCAACATACAACACTCATACAAAATATAGAGAGCTCACAGATTTCTCGTGTGGCTTTCACTCTCTGTCTCTCAAGCTCTGTTCGTTGATTTCTTAAGCTCTGATACTAAATCTCAAGAAGACTCAGAGGCTCATCTTGTTTTCTCTATCTCCCGTATGCTTTATATAGGAAAAAACATACACCATTTGTCAACAAAATCATGCTTGATTTTGTCAACAAAATCAAGCTTCAGCCACCCCTCTCTATGTCAATACGGCCACCGAAAGCAAGTCACCTTTCGGTGCTTGATATAGTTGACTGACCAACAATCTCCACCTCGATGAAGTTTTCCCAAAAAACTGAGCCGACACCAATAACTAGTGAGTCTTCACCCATCTTACAAACAATGCCCCAAAAGGGGCCACTTAACAAGTGCGAATGCCTCCCAAATTCAAGCAGTGCTTGAACTTGAAGGCCGGGATCGTTTTGGTCAACATGTCATCTGGGTTGTCTGTAGTACCAATCTTCTTCATCGTGATGTTTCTTTCAGCAGTTGCCTCACGAATGAAATGATATCTGACATCAATATGCTTTGTCCTCTCATGATGTGCTGAGTTTTTGCTTAGATGTATTACGCTCTGATTGTCACAAAATACAACTGAACTAGCCTCCTGTAGAAGTCCAAGCTCCCTCACGAGATTTCTCAACCAAATGGCCTCTTTTACCGCTTTTGCTGCTGCCATGTATTCTGCCTCTGTAGTAGACAAGGCAACTGTCGACTGTAGAGTCGATCTCCAACTAATAGCTGAGCCAGAAAGAGTAAAAAGATAACCAGTCAAAGATCTCCTTTTATCGAGATCACCTGCATAGTCAGAATCCACAAAACCTACAACAGAGGTTCCCAAAGTATTGCTATCAAAAACTAAACCCAAATCTGAGGTACCCCTGAGATACCGAAGGATCCACTTCACTGCCTCCCAGTGTGCCTTCCCTGGTTGAGCCATGTATCTGCTCACTACACTGACTGCCTGGGCAATGTCTGGACGAGTGCAAATCATAGCATACATAATGCTACCCACTGCATTAGAGTATGGAACTCGGGACATCTCCTTCTTCTCGTTCTCACTTGTAGGTGAATCTGAAGCCGAGAGCCTAAAGTGAGGAGCCAAATGAGTCGTAACGGGCTTGGCCTTCTTCATCCCAAAACGTTCAAGTACCTTTTCAATATAACTCTTCTGTGAGAGATATAATGTTCCAGCTTTCCTGTCCCTCCTGATCTCCATACCTAATATCTTCTTTGCTACACCAAGATCTTTCATCTCAAACTCATCACTGAGTTGTTTCTTCAAAATAAGAATCTGCGATATGTTCTTAGCAGCAATAAGCATGTCATCGACATATAATAGAAGATAAATAAAAGAATCATCTCCTAGATGCATGTAGTACACACAACTATCATAAGTACTTCTTGAGTACCCATGACTAAGCATAAAATTATCAAACCTCTTGTACCACTGTCTGGGAGATTGCTTCAGGCCGTACAAAGATTTTTTCAATCTGCAAACTTGATCTTCTTTACCTTCTGGGAGATTGCTTCAGGCCGTACAAAGATTTTTTCAATCTGCAAACTTGATCTTCTTTACCTTCTACGATGTATCCTTCTGGCTGAGACATGTAGATAGTCTCCTCAAGTTCGCCATGCAAGAATGCAGTCTTCACATCAAGCTGCTCAAGCTCCAGATCAAATAGAGCAACCATGGCAAGCAATACACGGATGGAGGTATGCTTCACAACCGGAGAGAACACTTCATCATAGTCAATTCCCTCCTTTTGTCTATAACCCTTAGCCACCAACCGTGCTTTGAATCTAGCATCTTCAACCCCTGGGATCCCTTCTTTCTTCTTGAAAATCCACTTGCATCCAATTGCCCTTTTACCCTTAGGTAATTGCACCAAATCCCAAGTCTGATTCTTGTAGAGTGACTCGAGTTCTTCTGTCATAGCTGTGGCCCAACGTCCAGATTCTCCGCATGAGACAGCTTCAGTAAAGTTTGATGGCTCTTGAATACTCATCTCTTCAGCTGTCGTGAGAGCATACGCCACTAATTCAGTATGTGCATATCTTTGAGGAGGTTTGATCTGTCTCCTCTCTGCCAGTGGCTATGGAATAAGGTTCTTCAGTCTCAGCATCATCAGCATCTGAGCCTGAATCATGTTGCTCTTCTACAGCTGTAGGAGCAAATTTTATAGACGACTTTTGAGACGTCTCTCCCTCGAGCTCCACCTGAAGCTCCACCTTATCCATGGTCTTCTCTACATTTCCTGTAGACTCAACAGAAACCTTCCCATGATCAAGCATATATCTTTCATTAAAAGTAACATCTCTACTAATAATGAATTTAGGAGAATCAGGTTCAAGACTCCACAAACGATAGCCTTTAACGCCATCAGCATAACCAATAAATATGCATTTCTTAGCTCTAGGCTCAAGCTTACCCTCTCTAACATGATAGTAAGCGGGACATCCAAATACCTTTAAATTTGAATAGTCATTTGGTTTACCTGACCATACCTCATTTGGAGTCTTGTGTTCAATGGCTGTAGAAGGAGACCGATTCACCAAGTAACAAGCTGTGTTAACAGCTTCAGCCCAGAAGCCTTTATCCAAGCCAGAGTTTGAGAGCATACACCTGGCTCTCTCCATCAAAGTTCTATTCATGCGTTCTGCCACCCCGTTTTGTTGAGGAGTGTGCCTGACCGTGCGATGTCGTACGATCCCAGAATTTGAGCAGAACTGATTGAACTCACCACTGCAGAACTCTAGACCATTATCTGTTCGGAGACGTTTAATCTTCTTTCCAGTTTGATTCTCAACAAGTACTTTCCACTTCTTGAAAGTTTCGAACACCTCGCTTTTGCGTCTGAGAAAGTAAACCCAAACTTTCCTGGAAAAATCATCAATAAACGTCAGAAAATAAAGAGCACCACCTTTGGATGGAACCTAAGCAGGTCCCTATAAATCTGAATGGATGTAGTCGAGAGTGCCCTTCGTCGTATGTGAGCCAGTCGAGAAGCTGACCCGAGTTTGCTTCCCAAACACACAATGCTCACAGAAATCCAGTGATGATGTATGATCACCACAGAGTAAGCCACGTTTACTCAAAATAGTCATCCCCTTCTCACTCATGTGGCCTAAACGCATGTGCCACAACTGAGTAGTGTCCCTATCAGCATCAGAAGACACACCTGCAGAGCCTGTCACCGTACTGCCTTGGAGAACATAAAGACTGTTCACCTTACTACCTTTCATCACAAGCAATGAATCCTTAGTAACTCTAAGAGCTCCACCTCCACCAGTGTAAGAACATCCAACAGAATCCAAAGAACTCAAAGAAATTAGATTTTTCTTTAAGTCCGGGATGTGTCTCACATCTGACAAAGTTCTCACTATCCCATCGTGACACCGGATGCGAACTGTACCAATGCCAACTGTCTTGCAAACTGTATTGTTGCCCATCAAAACTGATCCACCACTTATAGATCTGTAAGTAGTGAACCAATCTTTATTTGGACACATATGAAAAGACGCACCTGTATCCAAGATCCATTCTTTATCGGAACGGCCATCCAAGGGACATACTGTAAGAACCGTCTCAGCAACAACGACAGTATCAGCCTTTGCCGTATTAGCTGAATCTGAGGTTTCACCACGCTGGTTGTCTTTCTTCTTTAGAGCATAGCATTCTGACTTTTTTCATATCCATGACAATTTTATTAAATTCATCAAGGTGTTCCTGAATGGGTGTACCTTCCTTCATCTTCAATGTGTATAGCCGTTGCTTCAGGTATAATCTCGTAGTAAGAGATTTCTTCAAGTAGAGACTTTCGAGCTTTGACCACAACCCCGCTGCCGTTTCCTCATCGGCAACTTCACGAAGCACATTGTCGGATAGTGACAATTGCAAGGCGCTGTGAGCCTTTTCGTCCATCTCTTCGATCTCGGCACTAGTCATATCTTCTGGGTATTTCCCATCGATAGCTTTAATCGTGCCTTCACGTCGCAATAAAGCCTTCATCTTTATCCTCCATAGGCCGAAATTGTTCTGGCCATCAAAGATCGACACCGAGAACTTCACAGAAGCCATTGTGGATGATTGAAAGCTGTCCTAGAACCGAGAAGCTCTGATACCAGTTTGTTGGGATAATTAAACACAAAGCAAGAAAAATAGAGAGACAATCACAAGCACACAATATTTACGTGGTTCGATCAAATTGATCTACGTCCACGGCAAGAGGGTGTATCACTATATTTCTTTCTCAACATACAACACTCATACAAAATATAGAGAGCTCACAGATTTCTCGTGTGGCTTTCACTCTCTGTCTCTCAAGCTCTGTTCGTTGATTTCTTAAGCTCTGATACTAAATCTCAAGAAGACTCAGAGGCTCATCTTGTTTTCTCTATCTCCCGTATGCTTTATATAGGAAAAAACATACACCATTTGTCAACAAAATCATGCTTGATTTTGTCAACAAAATCATGCTTGATTTTGTCAAGCTTCAGCCACCCCTCTCTATGTCAATACGGCCACCGAAAGCAAGTCACCTTTCGGTGCTTGATATAGTTGACTGACCAACAAGTTGGATGATGTGACACATTTCTTGTGTTTGGTTTATTTTTAAAGGTAAGAAAGAAGATGAAATGAGATGAGTTGGAGGATAAAAATAATATTTTATTGGATGTTGTGGGTGAGTTTTAGGGATGGAAATGGATAAAAATATTATTTTATTGATTTCCTGGTATCGATTTCCTTTTTTTGGTTTTTAGGAAACCAACCAAACAGCCATAACCAAAAACTGAACGAGAGATGGAAAAAGAGAGGAATACCTAATGCTCCTCGAATCGAGATAGTGACAGAGCTCCACAGCGCCTGAAATCACTTCCAAAAAAAAATTAGAAACACCTACACAAAATTAAAAAATATATATATAAAAACAAGCATCAATTCCTAAACCTGGCATGATTTGGAGGCGATCGAGGCCCTGGCGCTCGAACAGGGCGATGGTCTCGTACGCCTTCTGCTGCTCGAGCGGGCCCCACGTCTCGATGTGATGGAGGATGTCGACGCCCCCCGATCCCAACGAAGCGTAGGCGTCGTCGCCGAGCACCGCCCGGTACATCGCGGCGAAGTCGATGACGGGGACCGTTAGGGTTCCGTCCATGTCGAAGACGACGCCGCGGAGGCTGGGCTTTTTGACGGAGGCGGTGACGGGAATCGACATGGAGGAGAGAAGGCGGTGACGGGAGCGAGGAGGGGGGAGGGGTTTTAGTGAGAGTGAGAGCAGGCAGCGTTTGATGAGGGGAGAAGCGAGCATTTGGCGGTGGATTATTATCCAGTGGTAGGGAAGGGCTCGGTCGCTTTTGGTTCAGATACGTTCAGCGAGGGCTTTTTTTTTTCTCAATCCCCTTCTTCCATATTAACCTGAAATGCCAGGTTATTTTTTAGGGAAAATTGTGTCCAGGCCCCAAAATGGGGAACTTCATGTGACAAGCCCCCTCTTATTTCGGCCCATGTGTATTAGCCTCAAATACGCACAATATTTGTTATGGGACCCCTAACTACTCTTTTTCAGAAAAACAAAGGCGGAAGTTACGCTCTTGTCCTTCTGATGGGACTGTACTCAGTTAACGCGCCCCATCCTTATTCAAGTACTCTCTCTCTCTCTCTTCCACCTCTTCGTTGTCTCAGAAACTCGAGATTGTGTCCAATTTCTCACCGCCGTTCAACAGTTTTAGGGTTTTCGCCTGAATCATGTCGTCCAGGGAAGGATCATTTTCCGATTTCGAGGTCGACCACCGACGCGCCTCGAAAGGCCAAGACGTATCGTCTGGGCTTGAAAGCGCGGAGGAGGCGACGCAAACCCTAATGGAGATGCAAAAGGAGGCGATAGCACGTCGAGACAGCAAAAGACGACCCTCGACGGCCGAGCGTACCATCCAACCCTCCCCCGAAAAACAGTATGTTCTATGTTATCGAGAATCTGGGAAATCGACCTAATTTTGCGTAAATTCAGTTCATCTCAAAAATACCAGTTGTAGATGAGTACACATGATGTAAGTGCTGGATTGATTCCAATGTTAGTTCTAGGTTGATTCAAAGCACCTACAGGTGCGGCCGAGTCACGAAGGCTGACCGCCAATCTTGGGGCCTATTGGAAGTTCATGAAGAAAATAGCCCCGAAGATCAATCAGTATCATAGGGATGCCTACCGCGGTTCTGTGTTTGAGCACTATATTGTATTCGGTGCTCCTGCTCCCGATCTGCCCACTCTGGAATTGCTGCTGCGCTATTATGACGGAGACAAGAGCACATTTTCCATACCGGATTCAAATAGCGGGGCTGTTAGAAAGGTAAAATTTGATCTGCAATGGGTCCACAACCACACTCATTTTCCTATGAATGATGAAGTTGTAAGTAACAATCGGGACTCAAACAGCAGAATATGGATGAAATACTTTGTAAATCTTTACATTTCTGAAGAAGGCAAGAGGTCGAAAAAACCAGAAACCTCCCAGCGCAAACACCTCGAAGGGCATCTGGAACGGTTAGTGGAATCAACAGAAACGGGGGATATCCAGGAATTTGTTTTGCTACAAATCCTGTACCAATGCTCTATGATATGGAGCCCCAGAGCAGGGGAAGGTATCCCTAGACCCGTACTCAGATATCTGGATAACATTGAGAGGGTCAAGTCTGTTGCATGGGCCCGGTTCTTTTATGATGAAATTATCAGGGGCATTGGTGTTGCGCTGGAGGGAAAGAAGGAGCGAAAGAAGGCATATGTCCCAGGTTGCATGACACTACTATGTGTAAGTTTCATAATTTTACCTATTTTATTTCATTCTAGTTCTGTCTTATTCCTAGCTTGTTGTAAATTAGGTTATGTTATTTCTATCTTATTTTATGTTAGTTCTACTATACAACACGTTATTTATGTTGTACAACATGTTATTCAACATGATGTTAGTTCTATTGACTGTTTTGTTAGTTCTATTAACTGTTTTGTTAGTTCTAATAACTGTTTTGTTAGTTCTATTGACTGTTTTGTTAGTTCTATTAACTGTTTTGTTAGTTCTAATGACTGTTTTGTTAGTTCTATTGACTGTTTTGTTAGTTCTATTGGCTGTTTTGTTAGTTCTAATGACTGTTTTGTTAGTTCTAATAACTGTTTTGTTAGTTATATTAACGGTTTTGTTAGTTCTAATGACTGTTTTGTTAGTTCTATTGACTGTTTTGTTAGTTCTATTAACTGTTTTGTTAGTTCTAATGACTGTTTTGTTAGTTCTATTGACTGTTTTGTTAGTTCTAATGAGAGTTAGTTCTGATAGGTACCATGTTAGATCTATTTGCTGTTCTGATGAGAGTTATTTCTGTACAGTGTCATGCTAGCTCTAATGTGTAGCATGTTAGTTCTATGTGTTTACGTGTTAGTTCTAATGTTAGTTCTAATGTGCAGCATGTTAGTTCTAAGTGACTGTTTTGTTAGTTCTATTGTCTGCTTTGTTAGTTCTAATGCTCAGTGTGTTAGTTATGTTAGTTCTTTTGTTAGTTCTATTAACGCTCTTGTTAGTTCTAAAGAGAGTTAGTTCCAATGACAAATTGGGCACCGGATAGCATGAAAGTCCCATCTATGAAGGTGGTGACTATTACGGAGAAGGCTAAGGCAGCGTCAATAGCATTTGTCCACAGGCAAATTGAGGAAGTGTCTCCTCCTCTAGTTGAGCAGGCGTTCCCCGCTGCACAGAGGAGAAAAGTTGCGCATCATAAGCGCGAGACAAAGAGGAGGAAGGCTAGCCAGGAGAAAACGCCTGGGAACTTCTCTGTATGATTCAGACCCTTATGTTAAGTCTTACTCATTTTACAATAACTAAAAACAATATCCTAATTATAATCTCTTATTAATATCAGACCATGGCAAAGCATATTGACGTTTTTGACAATGAGGAGGAGATCAAATGTCTTCCCATAGATCAGCAACTTACATTGTGGAGAAATTCTGCTAAATTTCTCAAAAGATTGCTGGATGACACAAAGCAGACCAAAGAATTTATGATTGAGATCAACAGGCTGAACAGGATAATTGAAGATTTGAGAAGACATGATAAGATTGCAAATGGAAAAAGGAAGAAGCGGCGGGTAAATCAAGAGGAACAGAGGTCTAAACCGAGCAGTGTATATAGTGAAGACCCAAACACGCAGCTTAATGTACATAAGAATGTAGAAGAGGATGTTAAGCATCATGTTGACGTTGTTCAAAGAGAGGAGGAGGATATTGTAGAAGAGCGTAATGAAGAGGAGCATATTGCAGACGAGGTTGATGTAGATATCAAAGTTTTTGCAGAAGAACCTACTGATTTTGCAGATAAGAAGGAGGATATTGTAGATAAGGGGGAAGAGGCTTCTGATAAGTTGGGTGATTTGCTGGTTGATTTAAATGTAGATAGTAAGGTTGATGCGAAAGAAGATAGTGAGGCTGAGGAACATGTACATATGAAAGAGGAACATGAGAATAGGGACGACGATCATGTTGAACATGCACAGGTTATTGTAGATAGCACATTAACGGATGAGAGTCATGTTGCTTCAAAGGAAGCAATTGAGGATTTACATCTTGTGAATATTACGCACGACGTTGACAGAAATGTAGAAGTGCTAACTGGTAATGTCGAAGAGAAAGCAATGGGTAGCCCAAAGCCACGAAGGGCAAGCAAGAGATCTAAATGGCGGAGGACCCCATATACTGAAGGAAAAAGAAAGAAAAAGCAAATGACGATTATAGATGTTTTTGAAAGTCCTGAAAAGGGGCAAAAAGTTGACACGGTTATTCAATTTTTTCCGGATAATCAAATCGGTAACTGGGATGTGATGAGATTGAAGCCAATGACTCGTGAAGAGGTAGCTCTATTGGCAGAGCTGAATACAGATATTACAGACTCGTCTTTGTTTAACATCCGCATTATCGATAGCACGGGTGCTTTCGTACATAATTTTACTATATCACCTCTAGCAGCATCCAGACTCAACAAACTTGAAAATGATTTCTTATCCAAATTCTGCTCTCAGAAGATACACATGTATGATTCAGTTGACTATTTTTATTCTTATTTGTCAAGTATTAGTTCTAATTACAGTTAGTTCTGCGTTTCAGGAGATATAAGGTTATTGAAACATCGAATAGCAGCATCAGCAGAGCAGATTTGTTGACTTTGCTCCGAGGTGGCCGGCTTGACGACAAGGTTAGATTATACTTCAAGGCAAAGTTGAAAATGTATGGCTTAATTAGATCTTTAATGTATTTCTAATATTACAGATGGTTGAGTCAGTGCTGGACACGATTAGTGTGGATGCGTTTGGCAAAGGATATGGTCTCGTATCAATGTTCTTTCTTGTAAGTACATGTTAGACCTAAATTGACCATGCTAGTTAGTTTATAACATGTTAGTTCTATTCCCTATCAAGTTAGTTCTATTCCGTATCATGTTAGTTCTATTCTGTACAATGTTAGTTCTACGGAATAACATTGTTAGTTCTATTCAGTACCATGTTAGTTCTATTCCCTATCATGTTAGTTCTATACCTTATCATGTTAGTTCTAGTCTGTACAATGTTAGTTCTAATGTGTAAGATGTTAGGTCTATTCCGTATCATGTTAGTGTTTTGTTAGGTCTATTGTCTGTTTTGTTAGTTCTATTGTCTGTTTTGTTAGTTCTAATAGACTGTTTTGTTAGGTCTATTGTCTGTTTTGTTAGTTCTAATAGACTGTTTTGTTAGGTTTATTGTCTGTTTTGTTAGTTCTATTGTCTGTTGTGTTAGTTCTAATAGACTATTTTGTTAAGTCTATTGTCTGTTTTGTTAGTTCTAATGACTGTTTTGTTAGTTCTAATAGACTGTTTTGTTAGGTCTATTGTCTGTTTTGTTAGTTCTATTATCTGTTGTGTTAGTTCTAATAGACTGTTTTGTTAGTTCTAATAGACTGTTTTGTTAGTTCTATTGTCTGTTTTGTTAGTTCTAATTGACTGTTTTGTTAGTTCTAATAGACTGTTTTGTTAGGTCTATTGTCTGTTTTGTTAGTTCTATTGTCTGTTGTGTTAGTTCTAATAGACTATTTTGTTAGGTCTATTGTCTGCTTTATTAGTTCTATTGTATGTTTTGTTAGTTCTATTGTCTATTGTCTGTTCTGTTAGTTCTAATGCCTTATCATGTTAGTTCTAGTCTGTTTAATGTTAGTTCTATCTCCGTGCTTGCAGCATTCATTATACGGCATCGAACCCAGCTTTTACGAACTATTTTTGACATACATTGAAAAGTATACCGCCCTCCGCATTATGCATCTATTGATCCCTTTGGTCAGGGACGACCA